ACCCACCCACCCATGTGGCTCACTAGGACTCTAGGATTGCCCACGCCAAGTTGGGAAATTCCTTCCTGGAGAAGGAGAGGCGTTCAGGAACCATATAATGCCGCAGATTCCATCCATCAAAAAAGCCAGTTTCTTCATGGCAGCTGATCTTTGTAATCCCAGGTGGTTTCCCAGGCCACGTTTGGTGGTTCCCTACATTGGACTGATACTCTGGGTCACTTCCTGGGGTGACCAAAAACAAAGGGGAGAGCCTTAAAAGTGAAAGTTGTATATACAGTTTACATTCACGGATGCCAGGTTCTGCCCTATATCATTTAGTATGTTTTCATTTTTTCTATTGTGCCAAGGGTTGGGTTTCATATTGCTGTAACCCTGTGAGGGTGGGTTAGGTTGATGAGAAGGGCTGGCTCATGGACTCAGTGGATTTGATAGCAAGTGGAGGTTTGAACCTGGGTGCCAGATGCTAGTTGCTACACAAGTTATCTCCATCTTACACTAATTTAAGTAGAAGCATGATTTGTTAAGGAATCAAGAGAGACTGTGGGCATATTTCGTGGGACAAGGTTAAAAGTTGGTAATGCTGTGGAAAGAATGATCACTCAAGTTTCCAGTTCCTTGATGAGGATTGCAAGCTGCTGTGGCTCCTGCCATGTGACACTGGAGGGCTGAGTTCTGTGCTGTGGCGAGGTTACGCAAATAGTCTTTGTTTTTGCTTGATGTGGCATGCACTACCACTAAGTGAATGCTTGTAAAACAATATTGCCTTTCTTGCCACTGAATCAGAAGTACTGTGGTAAGGGTGAGCTGTAAGGAAGAACAGTTTACTAGAGAATTTGGGTGGGGGCAGTTTCACAAAGGAATGTGGTACATGGTATTTTTTGCATCTAGACTTTCATTCATCTTACCCTGTGCATAGTTAGGGGTTATGTGACTCTTTTATGCTTACCTGAAAGGATCAATCAACATTTTGTTTGTATTATTCTGTAGACACCTCTTCACCATCATGTCTTCTGAAGAAGGGAAGCTGTTTGTTGGGGGGCTGAACTTTGACACAGATGAGCAAGGTCTGGAGCAGCATTTCAGCTCTTTTGGTCCTATTTCTGAAGGTAAGAATAATAAATTGCTCTTTGTGCCTCTCGAGATTCTTTCAAAGAAATTTTCATTTCGTTGACTCAAAAGTTTATTAAAAAGCTTATGGTTTCTAAAGTGCTACCAGACTCAAATCTAGCTCTTCTACAAGCGATTTTGGTAATTTTACTTCTTGTCTTGTGTTTCTAGTTGTAGTGATCAAGGACAAAGAAACCCAGAGATCAAGAGGGTTTGGTTTTATCACCTTTGCCAATCCTGAGCATGCGTCAGATGCCATGAGAGCCATGAATGGAGAGGTAAAGATCCTGAAATAACTTCACATTGGTGTAATTAGCTGTTTCTCTTAAAATCTTGAGACAAGTAGTAATTCATGACAAACTGCTTAAAGTAGAGCTGGTTAATCTAATTAATTTTAGAAAAGGCAGAAATGTACCTGTTGGGAAAGGTATTTTCTAAATAGCCTTTATAAGATTTTTTTCTTTTCCAAAAATCCAGCAACTAAATATAACGATGGTGGCATATTAACACATAAGTTTCTATAAAAGATTTTCAAATGTCTAAAAATAAGACCATGCATTGAAATATTGATAAGTTCTTAGTTCCTCAATCCATTTGTTTATTTTACCATTATCTAATGTAGTAATGTAGGTCTTTCAGCTATAGTAAAGGAGTAATGTCCATTTTCATTGACCGTTGATTAGCCTCCAGGAGACGGGCTAAAAGTACAAAAGCATTCTCAAAAATCAATGACTTCTAATACAAAAGTGATATGAGTGTAATAGCTTCTTACCAGAAAAACCAAAATACTAAACAGTTGGATTGCCTAGTCCCTCTTTCTGTCTTCCCCATTGTACAGTGAATTGGATGAGTCCCTTCACTGTCCCTGTGTCAGAAATGACACATGCTACCTCAGGACACTAATTGCTCTTCTCTCCCTTCCCTCTCCTTCTGAAATTTCATAGTTGCCCAAGCTGTGCCCTTTCAGGCTTTCCAAAACCCCATCCTCCAAAAGCATTGTGGCATGTGCTTAGATCTCAAAGCAGTTTTAGACTTGCTGTGAATTTGTATTCTGTATTGGAAACTGCTTGGCTCCAGTGTTGAGTAGCAGCTGGAATGTTGAATTCCAAAACTAGAATCGAGTTCAAATCTCTGCTGATCCATAACATTTTGCCTAAAATCTCTCATTTTGGCATGATCTGCCTTGTAAGATGGAAGTTGAGGGTAACAGTATGATTATATGCATGCTTACTCAGGAGTGGAGCTGCAGTGGCTCAAGTGGTTAAGACGCTGAACTGCAGGCTGTGGAAGGTCAGTAGTTCAGCAGTTCGAGACCCGAGTTGCCGCATGACGGAGTGAGCTCCCGTCTCTAGTTCCAGCTCCTGCGAACCTAGCAGTTCGAAAGCAAGAAATTGCAAGTAGATAAATAGGTACCACTTCGGTGGGAAGGTAGCAGCGTTCCGTGCACCTTGGTGTTTAGGCATGCCAGCCACATGACCACGGAAACGTCTTCGGACAGCGCTGGCTCTTCGGCTTTGAAACTGAGATGAGCACCGCAACCCTAGAGTTGGACTCCAATGGTTTTCGAGCAAGGGAACCTTTACTCAGGAGCAAATCCACTAAATTCTGCATTCCTTCAACTTTTAATCTGCTTTGTCAAATTGCATATGCAGGTATAGTTGATCAGCTCAGGGGTTGCATAGACATAATCTAGTGTTAACTATACAGAGGGTGGGGGTTAACTCCCACCCCTGTGCTGCAGCCATGGTTCAAGTAACCCAGTATTAGTCCTCTCATTGCAATTAAAGATGGTGGGAGGCTTGCTCGTAGATCTCCCATGATATCTAGGAAGCCCTCATTAAAACATTTCTGTGTGTCATTAGTCTGTAGATGGGCGCCAGATCAGAGTTGACCACGCAGGGAAATCTTCACGGGGATCCAGAGGTGGCTATTTTGGTGGAAGGGGGCGAGGCCGTGGCTATTCCAGAGGTGAGTATGAGGAGGTGTGGTGGCCATTGTTGACTGGCTCTCTATTAATTGAGGGAAGAGTTGATTCATTAATGGCTGCTCACAAGTAAACCATCTTTTTCTTGTAGGTGGTGGCGACAGAAGCTATGGTGGTCGCTATGACAACAGAAGTGGTGGTTATGGTGGTTCCCGGGATTATGGCAGGTAATTGTGGCGATGATCGCTGCTTCAGAGACGTTTAATTCTCCCTGAACAAGTGCAAAACACATGTCCTTTGTTTTCAGAAGTCAGGGAGGCTATAGCGACCGCTACTCTTCAGGAGGCTCTTATAGAGACAACTACGACTGAGGTAGGTGGCTCTTGGAAAGGGATTGCAAACTTCCTACTTGTCCAAAACACCTGTAACTTGCAGTGTTCCAACTTGCGCTAGGTAGTGGCTGTAGCAGTAGCTCACTACTGAGTAGCTAGTCTGAAAGATGGTTTTTGAGCACTTGCCGTTGACTCAGTCTAAACATTGCAAGCATCAGTTCAGATTACGGATAAAAGTTACTTAAATGCATGTTGGACCTTAAGAACTGTTAACTTCAAAATTATACAGCCCAGCTGTGGAGTGCTAATTGGGGGAGGGCCTTGAGATTCCTAGCCTCACTAATCTAAAAAAGAAAAGTCTAGGAGTGGTGAAAATGCTGCAAACATGTCCGTATGCTTGTGCCTTTATGATTGTACCTGCTTCTTGTCCTCAGCTCACACCGAGTAAAAATCCTTCCTGAATCAAGATCGTCCTTCCAATGGCCGTATTTATAAAGATTTTTGGAGCTTCGCTGAATCTTTAGTTACCTACTTGTATCTTCCCCTATATAGCTTTTTTGTCACATGCAGCCCGAAAGCTTTCCTCTACAAGATGGCCTGTTTAGAGTTTGCTCAAGAGTTTCTTTTTTTCAAGAGTGGTTTTAAAGCATTTTTGAAATCTGGTTTTATTTGTCTTTGCCCGAAGTTTTCTTTTAACTTGACTTAAATGGGGCCCTAAAACTTAAGGTTACGGTAAACTGGAAGCTGAGCAAAATTTACTTTTGAAAAAGTGCCATGCACTTTTTGGAGTTCAAGCCACTTTGGTATCACTGAAAGGATTAAATGGTTCACATTTATCATAATATAATAAAGTCTGTTTTACTGTATAGTAAACATAGGACTCTGACGCTTTGAGAGGTTCTTGAAAATGTTTGTTTATATTGTCCTTTTTTTACTGGAAGACAACGTGCATAATTCCATTGACATTGTATTTGAAGTGGATAAGGAAGTTCCTGTACTGAGTTTTTGGCTTTACGAAGCCCATTAAAATCCCATCTGAAACAATTCTCTGCTCGTGACGTTTGACATCACATTGCACCGCACAACTTAGATAGCTGAGTGGCAAGTAAGCAAAAGTGTGTTACGCCTCATCTAGAGAATGCCCAGGGTTGGTTAAATGGTAATGAGCTTGGTAGACGCTAATTCCCAAAAAGCTGATAGGAATGAAAACTATAAAACTGCAACACAAGGCAGAACAAATGAAAATGTCTGCCTATTTGTAGTATGGCTTATGCTATACTCTGTAATGTTGGTGATCCTATTGTATCTGAGTAGCCTTGGATCAGACCACTCTTCAGGTCAAGATGGATATGACCAGTGATGACCCCCCCCACACACATGTGTATCTGCCAAGATTCCCTAAAATATTGGGAGGCTTACCTACACCACAGTTCTGTCCTGGGGAATTGGTCTCATCTCTTAAGTGGGTAGTGACTGAAACAATTGAGGTGGTGGTGGTTGTGTTGCAAACACTTAATCCCTATGGAGTCTCAAGACATTGGTGGCTAAAGATCTTAAATGTCCAGGTTTGGCCTTCAAATTGTGACTTAACTGGCTTGATTTTTGAAGGTTCGTCACCATTTTCTGGTTTGGGAGCTGGTGCTACAGAGGGAATAAGATGTGGGGTGCTACGCACAAATGTGTGCAGTGGTAAAACATCCTGTGCCCTTAATACCTGGTGCTCTTGAGGCTTCAAACTGCAAACGAGCCCAGTTTCAGTTTCACATGTTGGTGTCCCTTGCTGCAATTGTAATACCATTGTATTGCTGTTGCTAGGGAGGAGAAACCTGGGAAGGATGGTGCCTCTTGGTTTATACAAATACTTCCTCCTAAAGTTGGATGGCATGTCCTACTTGGTTTGGAGAAACAGCTTTGGTAGATGAGCTGGTAGAGAAGGAAGCTCTCGCAATCTGGGGACTTGAGGCTTCAGGGTTGAGGCGAAACTGATTTTGGTGCCTTTACGGGCCTACCTGTAGTTAGCTCTGTCCTGTTCTTACACTGTGAGAATTCTCTGCTAGCGTGTGGAAGCCAGTGTTCCTTGGAGACCCCGAAGTGTGTTGTGCCTCCTTCAGTGCGATCCATGTGAGACGAAAGCTGCTCTTGGCTAGTTCATTTGTGGAAATAGTCCTGTATTTCGAGGTAACTCTTTTGCTCATGTCTGCATCTTTTCTCCCACAGAGCTCCATTCTTATGGCCACAGCACTCCTGGCTGTTACTGCTTTTGACAAACTCATTTTGGGTTAATCCTGGGGTCTTCATAGACCCCTGGAGAATCTGCAGTTTTATCCTGGGGGAGGGCTTGGCTGGCTGCTGTGACTGATTCTGCTTTCAAAAACCAGGGGGAATGGCAACCAACCAAATATGATACTTGGATTCATCCAGCTGTCTTGTCCAAGACTTTATAATAGTGCCTTGTGCAGAACTTGGACTTTTGGGAAGGCTTCTCCCAGCGCAGCATAGTTCGGGTATGGGAGGCTTTTGTTCCCACTTGATAAGCCAACTTTTCCGCTGTGGTATGTGGTTTTGGATGAGGAACTAAACATGGGAGAAAAAAATTGACCATATTAACTTGGGGAATCTCCTCAGGACTAGGTGAACAGCATCACCTAGCCCTGGAGTATCCTGTTAGACCTATAATCTGTAAAATAAAGTGGGAATTTGAGTGAACTTGGGTTAGTGACACTGACTTGTTTTTGGCAGGTGAGAAGAGAGGTGGTGGTTACTCCATCCTGCAGTGAAGTCCTGGAATGGGGATGAAACTGCTTCTCCGGATCCTGAATCCATGCTATGAAGTAAGTGGGTTTCGCTTAACATAACAAATTTATAGGAGCCGTATGGTGTTCTGACAGCAATTGTGTCATCTGGTTCGTGGAAGAGAATCCCATAGTGGGCACAGGGCCCTGATGCAAGCAGGTTAGCATTCCTGAATGCACAGACACTGTAAAGCTGAACTTCATGGCTTGAGAAGAAGAACGGATGGCAGTGAAATTATGCCTCAGTCCCATCTTGGATAGCCCAGGCTAGCCTGATCTGGGATGCTAAGAAGGGTCAGCCCTGGCTGGTATTCAGATGGGAGACTTCCAGAGGATAACAAGAGTTGTGACACAGAGGTAGGCAATGGCAAGCCCACCTCTGCACATCTCTCTGCCTTGAAAACCCTACAAGGTTGCCTTAATCATCTCTGCCTTGAAATAGCCTACAAGGTTGCCTTAAATCAGCTATGACTTGATGGTACTTCCTTCCTCCAGCGCCACCATGGCATAGTGGTTAGGATGTGACTAGGATGGGGGAGAGCAAGGTTCAGATCCCCACTAACTTTGGGACTTTATGGTGGGCCAGAGGTGCATTTCTGGTGTTTCTGTAGTCTATCTCAATTTGATCTAGTTCAAGGGGTGGTTAGAATAAAATGGAAGGGGAAAGGATAGGATAGTGATGATGCATGAAATTGCTTTGTGGGTGATGCCTCTGTTCCAGTACCACAACTGCTTTCTGACAGGGCAGATGCCACATAAGCAACTATTTGAAAATTGGTCCTTAAATAAGCATCGCTGAAGTCATCCTAGTTTGTCTAAAATTAGAAACCATTGTGTGCTGCTCGCAGCTGCGTGTATCTGCAGGCAGCTTCTATGTATACTCACAGGCAATGGCTTTTTCAGGGCTGTTTGTAGCTGCTGGCATGGACCTTAAGAGAAGGAAGACCCATGGAGGCACCGGCTCAGTTGCCTGAACAGGTTTGTTGCAGTACTTAACATCAAAGGACTAGCTATCTTGTTGGGTTGGCGACAAGCTTTTCCGTCTGCCTAGTTGGGTGGTTGAAGTTTCCTCTACCAAAACTGGCCACAAGTGCTGTGAGCTGATGACACTGAAATCCCCCTTTTTCTTTGTTTTCAGATTGATGACACTTTGGGATGGCTGTTCTCTTTGCCAGGACTAATGAAAAAAGTGAAGCAAGAAGACTGAATAATAGTATAGTGCTTATGACAGTGGACTATTTGAGAGAGACTGGCTTGTGTGAACAGTGGCCCAAGTGACACTGGGAAAAGCTGATACTTGGTTTGAACTTGCTTACGATTATAAGTGCTGTTCAGTGATTCTGGTGATCCAGCACTTTGGTGTTCAAGTACATAGGGTAGAATTTCCAGCTTTGTTTTATGTGTAAGCTGGGCTATAGCCTTAGCTAAAAATTGACTGCCCAGGAAGAATGCTGGCATATTAAATCTCTTAACAAGCAGCAAAATGAACTGCAGAATAAAATAATGCTTATTTTAAATTGTCGTCTCTTCTGTGGGATTTTGGACTCCCAAGTTTAAGGTTGGATTCTAATAAAACAGTGATTTTAATTCTGTGTTTTATGTTTTTTGTTTCTATAGTGATAGGACCTTGCAGGTTGAGAGTATGATTTGGTTCAAGATAGGACCTGTATGGTGCAGCAAGCTATGTGAAAGTTGCCAGGGGACCTCTGAGAAGCAGCATTCAGTGATGCTTGAACAAGGCTTCAGATTAGTTATAACCCAGACCTCTCTGCAAAAGTGGAGAAAGCAGTCTACTAGTGGGCAACAGCAGCCCTCTGATGCCTTCTGCAACATAAATATATGTATCCCATTGGTTTTCTGTTCCACCATGTTTGTAGCCAAGCACTCCAGCTCCCCAATGTGACTTAGAGGCTGCCTTCTGGCATATACCTCATGTATGTTTTTCTTGCAAGTAAAGGTGCAGAGGTTTATTTAAAATATTTACATCTTGCCTTTCCACAATAAAGTGGCTTCCAAAATGTAAAACACTAAACCAAACATACCCTGAAATGCATTGAGTTAAAACTGCATTGTTACTACCAGAGCCCTTTGTTAGTTGTTTCAGCTAAAGGTGTGTCAAGATAATTCAGCTTTGCACATCTTACAGGATTTTAGGAGTCATCTGTGCCTGAGATGTGCGCAACTGCGCCTACCAGAAGAACATTCAGAAGTGAGGCACTTGATGACCTTAGTTGGCCACATGGAATAGTGTGGGTGAAGGTTCATTAGATAAAGCAAGTCCTATGCTGTTTAGGGATATCGTAGCTGGGATATTCACTTTTCACTACAATTTATTTAAAGTGGCTGTCATTTCCTTGCATGTACATGTTGCAGAGTTGGGCCCTAGCCCTAATTTTGAAATCGGGGAACATGCTAGCTTCCCTGAGGAATGATTCATCCACAGGCTACAATTCTTGAGGGATGAGTTGTTCAGAAAAGGATTGTGCCCGTCCACCCCCACCCCACCCCCCGGCTAGTGATAAAGTCCTATGAAGTTCCATTAACCTGGTTTCTCTGTAATTTCAATGCAACCCTCTTGTATGGGCCAGGCTTGCCCCAAAATGTTAATGTCTAAAAACTAAACCCTTCGTGGCACCACTGCTGTTTTGTCCGTCCCTTGAGACCTCTCAGCTCTGTTGTCTAGCTTTCCTTGTCTAGAACAGAGCATCCTCTGTGCTATCTCCCCCCCCAAAAAAAAATCCTCACAGCTACATTTTCTAATGTCATTAGTGGTTATGGTATACATGAACACCAACTTTCTGCCCTCTCTTCTAGCCTAGCTGGCCAGTGTATATCAGCATTCTTCACACTAAGCATCAACATGTCCCATCACAAACACACCTTTGTACAATCAAGAGTGCCCCTGTATGTCCTCGGCAGTGTTCCTTCTAAGGGGAGTTAGTGTGAGCTAGCTCAGTTTTTTAGCCTCCAGCTCACATTTTTGTCTTGGCTCGGGAAGGATGGCTCCAGAGCAAACTACAGTAGCCAAATTGCTCACCCACAGCTTTAATGCTGGTAGCTCATGAAATTTTGCTCAGAAGACACCACAGCTTGGAGCATTGGTCCTCAGCACGGGAGATTTGGTCATCATTGAACCAATTCCTTTTTTGCCCTAAAATAGGCAACTTACGGTGACCCTGTAGGGTTTCTCAAGGCAAGAGATGCTCACAAGTGATTTGCCATTGCCTGCCCCTGTGTAGCAGCACTACTTGG